TTCTTGGTTCTCTCATTGTTTCTCTTCTATAGCACTTTCTTTTTGTTTTATAGGTACAATATCTTCTCTTATCTTTGCAGATATTAGTTATAATTTTAAAACAGATATTTTCTTCTATTCTTTGCATAGTTTCTATTCCCTATGGGTTGTTCTGTTTCTGTGTGTTTATTCAAGACTCTGTTTCTCATATGAACACTTTCCTCAAATATCTGGTAAATCTTGTTTATGCACTCATATTTAAAATTGAGGCACTGCAAGTTTAGTAGTCAGAACGAATTAGGCTATGTGGTAGAAAAAACAACCCCCAAATCTCAGTGGCTTAACACAATAAAGGTTTATTTCTCACTAATGTCAGTCCAACATGGCCTCCACAGAAGTGGAAGAAATAGGATGGATGACTGTGTAGACAAGAGCTTGTGCCCTTGTAGAATGGCGCAGAGACAACTGCTCACACCAGGGCGGAATCTCCACAGACCCCCTGCCAGGCTGGGATCTGGGACAAGGGTGGAAGCAAGGCTGGCCAAGGCAGCGGCAGCGCTGACGTCAGGGTTAGCGGTGGGATTACGCCCATGCTTCTGTCACGGTACAGAAGATCCTGCTGGAAGATGGTAGGTTTCTTTGCCACAGCTTCAGGTTCTGCAGACCACATTTTGTAGTTTTAGATCAACCAGGACATCAGTTTTAGATAAATGTGAATACGTTTTGAGTAGCTGGCTGTGGCTCCCAATCATCTACTTAGTCACTTATCCTCAAATGTGAACAGACACCCAGGACATCACCAGGCATTTGAGGAATTGTCTCAACAGGAAAAAGGGACACTATGGTAAATAAACAGGGAAAAAACCAATCATAGAGGGAATCTGGCTAATGCTGAAGACATAAAGCAGTAATTTAATCAAAGAGAATGGCAAAGGTCATAGATAGCAATAAATCACCAATGTGGTGCTAAATAAAACTGCAACCAGCTGCCAAAAGGCAGCTTTTGCAAGTTAAGAAAATATGACTCTAAGCACGAATGCCAGGAGAAAAAGTTGAGTGAATATCCCAGGAAGAAAAACGAAAGTGTAAAGAGATGGAAAATATAAAAAAAAGAGATAAAGTACTCAATCTAGGAGGTACAAAATTTGACTGTGAAGGATTCCTATTAGTGAAAGGAAGATACTTTCGAAGAGATGACAGAAAATAATTTCCCAGAGCTGAAATACTTAAATCTCCTGAGTTATTCCAAGCAATGAAAAACAAGTGTCGTTAGCATATCATGCTGAAATTTCAGAATCCAAGGAAAAAGAAAAATCAGACCACCTTCTAGAGAGGAAAAACCAACTCACCTATAAGGCAACAAGCTGTGACTGGCATCAGACCATAGCATCCCACTGGCTGCTAAAAGATACTAAACAGCCTTCCAATTCTGAGGGCAAATTGTTTTCAATCCAGCTTTCACATATAGCAAATTATCAGAGGAGCTCGTGAGTAGAATAGATATTTTCAGACAAGAGCTGAGAAGATTGACTTGTTCACACAGCCTTTCTAAAGACTTTAGTTGAGGATGTGCTCCAGAAAGGACACTGCCATCGTACATGAAAGGAAAAACACGTGGGATCCAGGAAATAGATTTTTATCCAGGAAGGCGAGGGAAGAAGTCCCCAGGTGACTGCTGTGTCCGGAGCCTGGCCAGTCGACACTGGAGTCGCGGTGCAGAGAGCTCCAAGAAGAAGCTGGCCAGGTAAACGGAGATTTGAGAGACCTGACCCTGCCCTGGAGAAGTGACTTTAGGCAATGGTAAGGGAAGGTAAGACAAGTCCTGAAAAGGCAATTAGAAATTCCAAGAACGCAAAAATATAAACGGTTTATTAATTCTAAACTTATGGGATCAACACATAGCCGGGTGCAGGGGCTCGCGCCTGTAATACTAGCGCTTTGGAAGGTCAGGATCCCTTGAGGCCAGGAGCCGGAGACCTGACAGAAACTGTGATTCAGGATGGAGGAGCGCTAAAAGGGAAAGATAGAGGAACTAATATTCTTACTTTAAATCCTCACTTTAAAAAGTAGAGAGTCAGTACTTGATGAAACCGAAAATAAAGCTGTAAGTTTACAAAGATAATAGAGGAGCTAAGAATAATATGAGTGCATTAGAAGGCAGAGGTGGTGGTATAAGTGAGTTAAATCCTCATATGTCAGAGCAGAAAGCCAATGAAATGGTTCATATTGATAAATCAAAAAAAATAAAAACAGTAGCATACGCATGTCATCACCGAAAGCTATGGCAATACTATGAGAAGACATAACCCAAAACATTTAAAATGTTTATGTCTGGGGAGCTGTGTGTAGTGGCCTTTCTGTACTGATAGGTATTTTGTAAAACCTTGGTTATATGTTAATTTTATTAAAGGAATAAGTAAACTTAAAGAGAAAACCAGGGATAAAATGAGTATCCATCTGAGTTGCCTGTGTCTTGGGAATAGCATCTTGAAGCTATCACCCACAGCATTAGGAAATCAGTGTTTCACATCCAAACCACCACATGCTAAATCTCTCCTACCATGCAAAGACAAGAAGTGATTCCATCACGAAGTCAAAATTTTAAATTTCATTAAAAACCTTAAACCAAGGGCCAGGCACTGTGGCTCACTACTATAATCCTAGCAGTTTGTGGGGAGGATTGCTTGAGACCAGGAGTTCAAGACCAGCCTGAGCAACATAGAAAGACCCAGTCTCTACAAAAAATAGAAAAGTTAGCTAGTCATTGTGGCATGGACCTGTAGCCCCAGCTACTTGGGAGGCTAAGGCAGGAGGATTATTTGAGCTCAGGTTTGAGGTTGCAATGAGCTATGATGACGCCACTGCACTCCAGCTGGGGCAACTCTGTCTTAAACAGCTCCCACCCCCCGCCCAAAATACTTTAAATCGAAACTAAAGACTATTAAATTTGTTGACAATATTTACAATGTAGTGATTTTTCAAATAGTTTCTAACACAGGGTACCATTTTTTTTCGATTTATTTTTGCTTGAAGGAATAGATACTTTCCCAAAGAAATGTTCATTTTTTAAAAAGTTTTTTTCTTTTTCATTCTTTTCTATGCAATTATTTTATGATGGGTTAAATATACTAAAAATTTAAACTTCTCTTCTTTGAAGGTAGCATCTGTAGTGACTGTCATTCTTATTAGAGGAACACTGATGCTTTTTATTAAAAAATGACAACAACAAAAGAACCTTATGCTCAGGTATGTAAAATGAGTCAAATAAAAAGATATAATTTGATTAGCTACATTCTTAGATCCCACTGTATCTGTGCCATAGCTATTACATCACTATATTGTCCCTGATCTATTACTAGAGGGCTGTCCTTATATCCATTTTCCCTTCCCTAAAAATGAATAAAACCTATTAATAACTAGGTTTGAAAAATATTTTATTTTCAATTTTGTAAGCCTTTAAGATAATTTCTATATTTAAAATGCAACTCCAATGGAGTAACTTGACTTTACGTGCAGAAGCTGTTATATATCAGGTCCACGGAAACAGTGGCCGTCGGTGAGTCTACGCTTTGTGAGAATGGGATATGATCGCCGCAACCTCCTCCGCTTTGCTGGAAATTAGCACTCTCGTGTAATGACAGCAACGGATTCAAAATCAAGAATCGGGCATTAGAAGACCAAGAGGCCAGCTGCTAGCGTTTTCCCTTCCGCTCCTTCCGCGCTTTGTGTCTCTATCCAGCGTTGTGTTGCTGCTCAAGAAGTTACACAAACGCCACTCATGGATCACTGCTTTTTATTATTTTGCGGCCCCCACATTTGGTTCTATTGTGCGATTCCTATGTTTAAACTTCACCTGTGACTCTTAAATTCCAATATCGTGGTCTCCAGTCACAAGCTTCCAGCTCTACAGTCTTCCTAGTCCATCTGCCCTTGGTCCCCACTGAGACCAAACCCCAGGCCTCCCTGTGAGTCACTCTCTGAAGTGCCATTCTCTAATGAAGACACATTATCCCAATTCCTTTGGTTTCCCCTGTCAACCATCCCGCAAATTCCTGTACCCAAATCATCCTTACCCATGTTGTCAGGTGAGGCTAGAAAAAAAAAACCCACACCCCACTGAAGCTTTGACATCACCACAAACATATGGCTTCCAGCCTCAGCTCAGCTTTCCACACTACTGCCAGAAATTCCCACACTTGCCTTCAATGTCTTCTCTCATCCCCGTGGTGACTCTTCCACTCCCACGGCCCCTTCTCCCATCTCGGTGGAATAGAAGCCATAGGAAACAAACTCCCTCAACCCCCAGCCCCAAGCACAGAAACTCCCTTTACATCTTTTCCCATCCCTGCTTCCTGTGCCAGGGGCCCGGCCCCTATGCGAATCTTTCCAAAGTGTCCTGGATGCCTGGCTCGTGCCTCTGCCAGGCTCACTCTCCACCGCAGCATGTGAGCACACTCGACTGTGCTGAGGAAAGCCCTCCGTTATCCTGCCTTTCACTCCAGGTTCATTCAGGAGTAGACTGCAGTTCATGAACGTGTTCTTCGGGTTGCCTTCTCTGCAGCCAAGACACGGCAACGGCACCTACCACTGCCACTGCTCTCACTAAGGCTGCTGCGCTTCCTACCTGCCATACCCCAAAAGTATTTCTGTAAGCCTTTTCTTTCTTGACTCTTCACTGTGACTTTCCCTCTCTGACTTCTGTGACAACACTCCCCCTCATTAGGCTCCCGTGCACGGACATTGAGGATGGAACAACCTCTCAGAGCAGGAAAACAGGATATTTCCCGGTAGCTGCAATAGTTTGAAAACTGTGTTAAGTCAGATTTCTCTTTATCCTGCTGACCTCTCAATAGCTATTCCTTTTATAAGAGCTTCTGTCAGTTTGTCTTTCTACTCAGCTCAGAATCTCTTGAAGTAGTTTGGACTAACGTCACCAGTTGTTTGGGATGGGTGTCACATGGTTTGGATTGTTCCTATTTCTTGTAACTATTAAAATGATCCTTTTGAACCCTTTTGTCCTTATGTTCCCTGTGTGTGACAGCACTGCTGTCCCTGCCGTTGCTCAAGCCAGACATGCAGACATTAGCCCCAACTTCTCCCGCACATTTGTCACCGAGTGCTCTGTCTTTAAATTTCTCACAGGAGCATCCAGTAGACTATCACAAGTAGGGGTGAGGGGCGGGCAGGTTGTAGTGGTCGCACCCTCCTTGAGAGCCACGATCAGAAGGCAAGGTGGTCCCGGGAGCCCTCGCATCCCCGGCGTTTGTGAAGTGCTGACCAGTTGCCACTGGACACACTGGAAACCCTTCAGGAAAAGCAGCAAACCCTTCAGGACAAAGCTTTTAAGACAAAAATAGAGTTGCAATCTTGGAGGAACTTGACAAAGAGAAAAGAAAATTGCCAATGTAGAACCACTCTTCGGCAAATCATCCTGGAGCTAGCGTTGCGCTCTAGAGACCCTGTCTTAGTCGGGACTTCCAGACCGTGCGGAGCCCGCACCCGGCCGCCCAGCAGAAGGCAGCTCCGCAGGCGCCGGTGCGCACGCATCTGCTTCACACGCGAGGCTCTGCATTTGGGACGCTTCCTCTTCCCGTTTGACCTCACCTTGACCCAGAATGAAGGAAATATTTGTGATGAAAGTGACTTTGTAATATCAAATGCCATAGCTACTATCGGTCAGTGCTATACAAATTGTGACTTTCAGAATTTTGGTAAATGTTTATTATTTTTTGCTTCTTTAAAAGAAAGGAGTATGTAAGTGAAAGCAAAACGAAGGGTAGCCACAATGATGAGAGATTTGGAAGCTGTATCATCTGAGGAGTTGATTATGTTGCCCATGACTGTAACTTTTTTGTAATACCATTTGATTTTAACTCTAAATCAGACTCTGCATTGGATGATCACTTAAAATCACCCCCCAGCCCCCAACAAGTTCTACTGAATATATCATGTCCACAATAGATTTTCAAGAACCATTTGTAGTACGTAACTTTAAAGAAACGAGGGTGCTTTTTAAAAATGTGAACCAATAGGCTTAAATAAATTACATTTGTATTTGCTGTTTATAGGATTGGTGTCAGTGTACCTTTTGAGTTTACAGTCAACATATCATCCTGAAATATTCTTTATGAACTCATAATTGCTTTCCCTATTCTCAATTTTAAAAGAAAACCCAAGAAAGACTAAATTACTCACCATTCTTTAATATCTTTTATACACATATGCCGTTATAAATGATGTAAATAAATGCTATTAACAACAATCATAAGAAATGTGGTGGTTTTTTAAGTTGTACATGCTCTTATTTAGTGTTACTATATAAATAGTCTGCCTGTGTGGTTTTATCGTCCGTTTTTGTTATAATTAAAAACTTATTATGCAAGTTAGAAAAAAAGAGTGCATTGGTGGTTGGATTAAACGGCAGTTTGTAGATAAAAATCTTCATGCCTTCAGCATAGAAACAACAGTGAACGCTGTGATAGTTATCTCCTAACGGAAAACAAGGGGCAAAAGGCCACAAAGATCCTTGAGGGGAAAAGACCTGGTTTAAAGAAAACAGTGCTGCACGGAGTCATTAAAGTAAAAGAAAGGAAGTCAAGGAAAGATGGAGTTTTAAAGAAGGGTTAGTTAACAGCACCCAAATATGATTCCACAAGCAAAGAAAATAAAGAGAAAAACTGTTACTGCAATTATCAAGAAAATCACTGAATTTATTTTGAGAGATCAGCTTCTGCAATATGATGGGGATAGATGGATATTAGAATACAGGGGTCAAGAGAAGTGATTATGAGGAAATGGTGGAGACTGCCATAAAGAACTCATCCATGGGAAAAAACGAGAAAGAGAGGGAAGTGGTTGGGAGCTTAAGAGAGTAGCTGGGTGAAAGTATAGCTGTTATAATATTTATCTTGTTAAATAAACTCTTATTATTTTTTAATTAATTTTTTTTTATTTTTTAGATGAGGGAAATGTCCAGATAAACTCTTACTGCTTCTAATAATTTGTCTATAGATTCCTTTTAGTTTTCCATTAAAATGATTATATCAATGATATAATCCCTTCCTTTTTCCAATAGAGGAGAGTCCAAAGGATATTCAGAAGTAGAGGGAAAATGCTAATATTTTCCTGAAAGGTAATTGAATAAGTACATACTTGTCTATCTCCTTTTCCCAAAAGGCATGGAAATGAACCAAAAGTGAAGAAGAAAACTATATATATTGAAACTATGAAACGAATATCATCTCATACTGAAGACACTGCAAAATATTAATATCTACAAGCTATAAGAGAATGTGGGTCAAGCAAAAGAACTGCCAGTTGGTCCCCATCTATTCTGAGTAGAAGCTAACTTTGAGACAGGTGGGAGTGCTAAGCAGCACCATCCAACCTTGAACAGAAGACTGAAGGCCTGCAAAGAAGTGGAAAGCACCCAGCACAGGGACCATGTGGACACCAAGAGTATCAGGGCAGGGAGCAGAAAACAGGATCACAAGAATAAGTCATCTTGGTCCTTCCTGACCTAGAGCTCTAATCGGGAACATTCCCCAGGATAACTGGCCCTGGTTCTGGGGAGTGGGGGAGGGCAAGGGCAATGTTTAAGAGGATGTGCTCCAGATTTAGTGAGAAAGTATATGGAGACAACATATGAGGCTAGCCACAGTCCCTTATCTTCCATGTAGTTTTGAAGGGTGAAGAAATCATAAACTCCCAATATTAATCTCTATGGCACAAGTTCGAAGGGCACTATTAATATAGTTCCTAAGTAAACAGGGATAAAGAAAAATCCACATTATTCCCAAGTAGTAGTCCTGGATGGAATTTCCTTCCTTTTCCTCTTTCTTTCTTAAGAACTATCTGTTAAACACCTAGTATGTAAGAGACATTGTGCTAGACACTGGGAATCCTCACACAAAACAGGGGCTAGTAGGGAAAATATATATTAAAGCCAAACGAGTATACTGAGCAAAATAAAAGAGATGCACAGGGTGCTATACCCCATCTGACAGACGGCCTGCTGAGTCCAGAAGCTTTCACATGAATAATGAGGACAAAAGACCCAACAAGGGATCTACGAATTAAGTACATCAAGAAGGCCGTGGAAGAGAGTGTACTAAACTAAAGCCATTGAGTGCTAGGCTTTCACAGAATTATCGCAGGAGAGAGAACACACGAATCAGCAGAGTTACAAGCCTTTCGGCTTGTCAGCCTTCTCCTGTATTGAATTTGTAATTCTTGGGGCATACCAGGAACTAACTCTAGTTTTTCGTCTATATATAATGGAAGTGGTTGGGAGAGTATTGAGAAAGACTTACTTCGTCTTGCAAAATAATTTCCTCAGATAAAAAAGTGTATTAGTCTGCCAGGGCAGCCGTAACAAAGTACCACAGACTAGGTGGTTTAAAGAACAGAAATTTGTCTCACAGTTTTGGAGGCCAGAAGTCAAAGCTCAAGGTATTGGGGCACGGTAGGTTCCTTGCGAGGGCTATGAGGGAAGGATCTGTTCCAGGCCCTTCTCTTTGGCTTGTAGAGGGTCATTTTCTCCCTAAGTCTTGTCACATCTGTGTCCAAATTTCTTCTTTCTATAAGGAGAAATTATAGGGCCCACCCCCAATGACCTCATTTTAACTTGATTATCTCCATTAAGACCTTGTCTATAAATAGGGCCATATTCTGAGGTACTGGGGTTAGGACTTCAACATACGAATGAGGGGGACATAATTAAACCCATAACAAAGAATAATAACATATTTTTAATAAAGCATAAGAAAAAATAAAGATTTGGTCTTTGTCTCAGTTCCAGGCACACAGCTCCTAAAACCTTTGGAATTTCCTGAGTGATAAGATTATCTTTTATATGTTGATGAGATGACTGGTGGCTGGGGGCCCCTAGATAGTTTCAGAATGGGGGCTGGTTGACAGAAAGACCCAGACGTCATTAGGTGGTTGGAACTTCCAGCCCCAAACTCTGGGGAAGGGAGAAGGGCTAGAGATTAACTTAATTACCATTGCCCAATGATTTAATCAATCATACTTACATAACGAAACCTCCATAAAACTCCCTAAAGGATAGCGTTTGGAGAGCTTCCAGTCTGGTGAACACATGGAGGTGCTGGCAGGTTGGTGCACCTGGAGAGTGCTGAAGGCTCTGTGCCCCTCCCCCTGCACCTTGCCCTGTGCATCTCTTCTATTTGGCCATTCCTGAGCTGCATCCTTTATAATAAACTGATAATAATGAGTGTCTTAGTCCATTTGTGTTGCTATAAAGGAATACGTGAGGCTGGGTAATTTACAAAGAAAAGAGGTTTATTTGGCTCATAGTTCTGCAGGCTGTACAAGAAGCATGGCCCCAGCATCTGCTTCTGGTGAGGGCCTCAGACTGTTTGCACTCACAGCAGAAGGGGAAAGGGAGCCAGTATGTGCAGAGATCACATGGCAAGAGAGGAAGCAAGAGAACAAGGGAAATGTAGGGCTCTTTTTAACAACCAGCTGTCTTGGAAACTAATAGAGCAAGAATTCACTCATCCCCCTACCCAGGCAGGGATCAATCTATTCACGAGGGATATGCCCCCATGACCCAAACACCTCCTATTAGGCCCCACCTCCAACACTGGAAATTCAAATTTTAACATGAGATTTGGAGGGATCAAACAAACTGTATCCAAACTATAGCAATACGTAAAGTGCTTTAGTGCTTTCCTGAGTTCTGTGAGCCATTCTAGCAAATTATCAAACCTGAGGGTTAGGGTCCACGGGAACCCCCAAATTTGTAGTCAGCTGAGCAGAAAAGTGGATAACCTGAGCACCCCATTTGCGGGTGGCACTTGAAATGGGAGCAGTATTGTGGGACTGAGCTTTTAACATACAGGATGGATGTTAACTACAAGTAGATAGTATCATAGTTTAATGGAATTGTTGGACATAGATTGATGTCTAGAGAACTAGAGAAATGGTTGGTCTTGGAAAAGACACCAAGCATTTGGTGTCAGGAGGAAAACATGCTCAGGAAGATTAGGAGGAAGGAGGGGCTTCTTTGACAATCAGGGCAGGCTCATGGTGTCAAGAGTTCAGAGTGTCCACCAAGTCACATTGTTCTCCGAATCTTCTCTAGTGTCCCTGTTCCAATTCTCAGAGTCTTGCTTTTTCCTGATTCTGTGTCCTAACTTTTGCTTACCTGATCTGCTGACTAACTGATAGAGTAACTTAGCAACCCCAAAGATCAAATTTTGAGTTTAGTTTTCAGCTACTTCAGCCTTACGGTTTTTGGTGTTTCTGTTTTCTTTAGAAACCAAAAAATAAACAACACAGCATCAAAGGACCCAACAGCACCCAAGAAAAATAAACTGAATCAAAGGATGAGAAGGGACTGAAAAGGATGAAGACAATCTTAGAGAACGATTAGTCATTTTAACAGAAACTCAGAATCTATAGACGTGATATGGCATAAGGTTGTTATACAAAAGTCAACTGTACTTCTAGATACAGAAGAGAATCTTGATACAGACCCAGATACACAGGGCACGTAGGCATACGCTCTCAATCGCGGGGAAAAGATTATTCAGTAAAGGTGTTGGGACAAATGGTTAGCCATTTAGGAAAAAACATAAATCTGAATCTTATAT